ACACTTATTTTTATTTTTCCCCATCTGATGATTTAGAAAAACTAATGGTATAGAACTTTATTGATATGTTCATTGTTATGTGGTATTTAGACAGTAAGGAGTGGTTGTCCAATTCCAAACTCACTCTTGAATCCACAGGATCCATCCAATCTTTCATTTACAGGTGGTATTCCCAAACCAAGCCGGCCATAGACACGCACTCACCACAAAACGTATTTTAAAATTGCCCAAAATTGCTATTCTTTAATGTAAGACGACATTTAATAGGCAAACCGTATAATTTGAATTCTATAAAGAACAGTGTCTGATAAGGAAGAGACAAAATATATACTTTAATTTGCATTCCCTTTTCATTATGAAATGCTTCTAAAATGAAGGGCCAAGAAATTTATTGCATGTGTACAATTTTTTTACTTTTTCCTCACTGTTGTGCATTCACGTGTTTTGTGTGCAGTTTTGACAAACAATAAAAATGATTGTGAAAAGAATATATAATTGTCATAAGTAAACCTGATGTAGTTAATATCTTTTGAATGGTTTTCTTATACAGTGCAAGTTGCTATTGAGAAAGTGTGCATTCTGAAATAATGGTTTATCTGTTATGTTGTCTTCTGTCTCTTAATGAAGGACGAGAAGCTCACTGTTTCTCAAGATCTTCCTGTGAATGATGAGCACCCCAGCCTCCTCTATTTCCATTACAAGATCACCGAGGTGAAAGAGTCGTCATGGAATGCCATGCTATCGAACCAGAGTCTCTTTGTGGAGATCCCAGAAGGCATCCTGGCTGATGGGAGCAAAGAAGGGTATGTTGCTTGGCCTTAGTCTTTTCTCTGTTTACGAAGATCATTTTTAAAGCGTACCTCTCATGTTGATAACATATGCTTTTTTGAAAGTGCCTTAATTTATACATTGTGCTAGCCGGTGTTCTAGACTCTATATGCCGAAGAATTGACTGACAAAGGAGTCGTCCTGTTTTCTACACAAAGCAACCACAGTGTACGCTGAAAACTCCATAGCCAGAGCTAGCAGTGTGTAGTGTAGTATAAGAACAGAGTGAGCCCCTCCTTTCAGACGCCAGCACACTTCCAACAGAATGAGTGAGTCTGTCACATAGGTTTGCCCTGCTTGAAGAGGTTTCCCCAAGCAGAGCACAACACCAAAGGGAAAGAACATGTTACACAAAGCGTAACACCCTTAAAGCTTAGAACATGGCGGTGTTAGAACAGAGGTAAGTATATATATTTTTTTAACCACAAAGTAGCCGACAGATGCACTTTTCTTTTAGTGCTGCTATCTACTCACTGTAACTTCGTGCAGTTTTACATGCCTTAATGCTATGGAAAGGTGAGAAGGCGCTTTAAATGTAAACAAAATCAGTGTTTACCAAGAACGGCTGGCGGTCCAAGGCAATTCACAAAACAGAAGACGAGTAGGTAGAAACAAAATATGATCCCTGGCAAGTTTATTGAGCTATAAGGTGCAATGTTTCGGTTCCTAAAAGGCATAGAATCCGTTTTATGGGTTTATTTGTTGCTAACTGCCTTATGCAGTGATATATTAGCCCTCAGATCTTAACACACATTTAATTTATCGTTCACGTAAAGGATGCTGGTGATATTTGTCATCTCATGTGATATTCTGTAGGAAAATGTTGTATTCTAACTGATAATAGGACGGACAAACCAGTAAGAGGGGAGACTAAGACAACAGTGCTTTTTAATCTGGCCTTAAATGAAACCTCTACACCTAATGAGTTAAAAGAATGAAAATTAATTTTACTTTTCTATATAAAGAAAACACCTGAGGAATAACCTTGCATTATCAGGTAAACCAGTTGTGCAGCAGTACACTGTATAATTCATGCATATCCTGTCATTCTGTTTATTTCCGAAAGGTGGTTTATGGGAAGATTCTCTATTTTCAGTTTGTGTCCTTGCTGTGCATTGTTTTAAATCCCCGACACTTCCAGTTGCTGATCTATGGATTATAAATTTGTTCCTCTATCACACCCATTTGAATTTAATCTGTTCTTGACAGGTTACTGGCCTTACTAGAATATGCAGAGGAGAAGATGAAAGTGAGCTATGTCTTCATATGCTTTAGGAAGAGCAGAGAAGACCGAGGTATGCTAAACAATCAGTAGTGCAATTATAGTTTAGGGTTGTATTCTAATAAAGATTTTTACTGTAGCATTTAAAATCAAAACTAGATGTTTGCTCTAGCATTGGAAGCTTTTTCTCTAAGCTGATTTCTGAGGATGTCCCTTTTGTCCTACACACCTAAGCTACCCAATATAAAAATGTGCACTCTGCTAGTCTGATTTACCCTCCATGTCATTGCCTGGATACAGGTGTCTTAAATGATGTGACTGCTTTAGATAGCAGGAGGATCAGATGGATTATTGCTGAAAATAAATCCCACGTGGAGCTTGATTGGAAAGACACAAGCGGGTTTAACAGGACAGTCAGGGGTCAGCTCCTTTTTTGTTTTGGAGGCTAGAAATCTAGCTATGGATTTCAGGTCTTTTAATTTTTTTGGCAGTTTTATAAAGCTGCATTCCCTTAATCCCAAAAGGTTCTTTACTCACATTAACCGGGTATTTGAACATTTTATGTGACGAAAAATTGTATTCCTATGTGTTATTTTTAACATGCAGTCGATACAACTTTTTACACTCCCTTCCACTATTTAAATATTTTGTTAACAAAACGTTTTATGCTATTTATTTGCATTGACGTAAACTAGCACTGTGCCCATTGATAACGTTTAAAGTAAACTGACAGGCTTCCATTTAAATCCAGTTTCATCCTGCTAACTGTCTCTATTGAATAATTGACTCTGCTTCATATTACCTAGGTCCTCTCCTCAAGACGTTCAGCTTCTTGGGATTCGAGGTGGTACGCCCTGGTCACCCATGCGTTCCTGCGCGTCCTGAAGTGCTGTTTATGGTGTACACGCTGGAGCAGAACTCTTCAGACGAGGAATGAGGCACACTGGACGTGTCGTTCCTGGCGCTCCATTTGTTTGTTTGTGTTGGAGTAGTGAGTGGGGAATTTTTAGCACCTTTTTTTTTTTTTTTTTCTTCTTCTGGGGCTGAGATGATTAAGCGCGCATGATCATGCGATGGACTGACCTTTTTGGCCTTTCTTTCTGGTTTATAAGATGTATGTTTGTTTTTATTTGGATTTTTTTTTCCTTTGCAATATTGTTCCAAGGCATCAACTTCAAGCACCTTGCAGTCTGTGATCACAAATGTAATGAGAATGTAGTCCGTAAAGCGGCATATGGAAAAAAGTTACCTTTTAAATGCCATGCACTTGTGTTTTACTTCTTGTTAACCATACTTTTTTTTTTTTTTTTTTTTCCTATGTAATTTATCACTTTACTTTCTTGGCATGGAGAACGTTAAATTAGGATAAACTAGTGCTAAAGAGATCTTATATGTGGCTCATGTACTCGCTATTGGTGAGTATGCTATGGCTTGTAGTGGCGAGCAACTTTTTAAAATCCGGCTATTGCTATAGGACTTCAAATTCTAAACCTTGGTTGACCTATTTACACACAGCCTATTATTCCTTTAGTTTTTTTGTTTTTTGTTTGTTTTACACCATTTATCTTTTTTACCCAAATTTGACCCCTGACACTACATATCTCCTTATAAATACTGCAAGTGGACCATCCAGATTGCTTGTGTCCATGCAAGCACCCAAATCGCTCAAACTATAATTTAACTTTCCTCTAGTGTTTCTGAAACAGAAATATGGCTTGAATCTAGAGTTGGAAAATCATTAAACAATGGAACAGTAATGTTGAAAATGTATCTAGTGTGGTCCTTCTTTGTCCACCTGTGCCAGCTAGTTCTGTCCTATGCAGTTAGACCCTGGATAAAAATATAAGCTTCTTCCATGCCAAACTGCACCTGACTCTTTGCATAACCGGTATTCCCAAACAACTGTTACTGTTTTGACACCCCAGTTTTTCAACTGTGTTTAGAAAGGAAAAAAAAATGTTGGGTTGGAAACAGTTGATCAAATTTAAAGTTGACCTGTTATGCATTAGGAGCTTGGTAGATCTAACAAGATTCTTCAGCAAAGAGAATCTGGAAGCAGGTGCTGGAACCTAGGCTAGTTGTGAAACCGTTCTGACAAGTTACATTGGGACAGCACCGTTGGCACCATAATCACTACAGCAGGCTGTAGTGATTATGGTGCTTGGAGTGTTCCGTCTAGTCTACAACTCTCTCATATTCAGCTCAGGTGCAACGGAAAAATGCTTGTTTTGCAATCACATCTCATCACTTTTTTTTTCTCGTCTGTCTGTCTGTCTGTCTGTCCCTCCTTCCCTCCCTCAATGACAATTCTTGGCAAGACAGGTTCCTCCAGCTTTCAAGTATGCTTCTTTCATACATCTACGTGGTTAATGCAGCACTGTGTCAACTTGAAATGCTTTACAAAATGTATTGGGGAAAAAAAGGGGGCATTCTCTAAGCACCATAAGTACTACCATGTGCTATAGATGTTTTCATGCAAGGAGTTCCCTGGCGCAGTTCCCATTCTGCTTTATTGATGTAATTTTTGTACAAATTTGTTATAAAACTATTTGATTTGCTTACCATGAGATGGCTCTATGACACACCTGGCACCATTACCACTGTAGTGCTTCTGCTGCTTAGACTGCCCCTTAAAGGAGTTGATATATAGGTGGTGGAACTGCACTCAACCCTTCGCTCAGGAATCCCAGGGTGCTACTGGATCGGCCCCAATACCAAAAAGACCAAATGTAAAATATAATTATAGAAAGTAATCCAGGCACTCCAAATTGTTCCGAACAATAGGCAATTTTTATTGGACCCAAGAACCAAACAACGTTTTGACCCCTTAGATCCTTTGTCATGCTACTGAACACATCTTTTTACAAACATTATATAGGTGCATAAAATAATTAACAAGTGATAAAACATGTGAACCATTACAATTAATTAATTAATAATAGTTAAACAACTGTCAAACATAATCATCTCTCCAATCATTGTTCCACATACTGGGAGTGTCACACATGACAGGATAATCCAGCCACTAGAATACCTAATTATTAAATAGTTTTATTGATAAAGAGATCTCTTTTTAATGGCATGTAATGAAGCTAAATGATCTCAATGAATCAAACACTGCCGAAGCGGAATTACTTACATATCCGGTTCAATTGCCAAGTGTCAGTCACATGACCAGCGTCTTTGATTCATTGAGATCACTTAGCTTCATTACATGCCAGTAAAAGAGATCTCTTTATCAATAAAACATTGCATTGTTAAGATAGGAAGCAATATAAAAATACACATATAAATTTAACACAGAACAGTTAAGAAATCTAATCCTGATTACAGGTGCTTTCTATATTGAGATATGTTGACCAAGATCGCTGTAAGAATTTTAGACTGGAGGAAGATTATATTGTATTTGTGAGGTAATTCTATATTTGCAGTGTTCTGTAAGAAAATGAGGGTCAAGCAACTTCATTTTTGTATTGTGGTATATTAAGTAAATTGCTGATATTGGATCAGAGGTTATAAAGAGGTGGGAACAGCTGGGGAGAGCGTTCTGCTCAGGTAGGGTGGGAGCTTCCCAGAAGAGCTTTTAAATACAATGCTGGAAAGATGAGGGGTGCGTCTGGACTCCAGTGATGACCTGTTTAGATCTTTTAACATGTCACAATGGTCGGTCTTGTAATTACATTGTAGCACAAAGCAGAACAAGTTTTATACGATATAATATGTTTATGAAGGTGGGTTTGCAGTGCTGGTGCGTACATTACATCACCATATTCAATGACTGGCATGAGTCTTTGTTGTACAATCAGTTTCTTTACTGTGGGGCTTAGGCAGAGATGTGTGCAGATATCTACTCCATGTCTCATTGCTGTGGAGTAAGTGTAGAAACTATAACCTAGCTGTAGGGAGAGACAATATAAACAATAACTAGGTGCCAATACTCCACAGCATTCCCTTAAAGGGACACTTCAGTGCCAGGAAAACAAACCGTTCTCCTGGCACTGCAGGTACCCTTTCCCTCCCACCACCCACCCCATATTGCTGAAGGGGTGAAAACCCCTTCAGTGACTTACCTAAGACTCTCCCTCGGCGGTGGTTTTCGGGTCCGCCTACGCTCCTCCCCCACTTACGTCATCCGGCGGGGGAGACTGATCGCGCATGTGCAGCCGCCGGCGATGGAGACCTCACGTGCGCGCATTAGACCTCTCCATAGGAAAGCATTGAAAATGCTTTCCTATGGGGAATTGAGCTACGCTGGAGGTCCTCACACAGCATGAAAACCTGAGCTAGAAACCAGGAAGTGCCCTCTAGTGGTTGTCTAGTAGACCACCACTAAAGGAGGTGTTAACCCTGCAATGTAATTATTGCAGTTTATGAAAACTGCAATAATTACAGTCGCAGGATTAAAGGACCACTCTAGGCACCCAGACCACTTCAGCTTAATGAAGTGGTCTGGGTGCCAGGTCCCTCTAGGATTAACCCTTTCTTTTATAAACATAGCAGTTTCAGAGAAACTGCTATGTTTAGAATAGGGTTAATCCAGCCTCTAAAGCCTCTAGTGGCTGTCTCATTGACAGCCGCTAGAGGCGTTTGCGTGCTTCTCACTGTGAAAATCACAAGACACCAGTGTCCATAGAGGGGGTCCCTGAGGGTGGGGGCACCCTCAGGGCACTATAGTGCCAGGAAAACGACTGTTTTCCTGGCACTATAGTGGTCTTTTAAGGGTAGTGGGAGATGGCACCCAGACCACTCCAATGGGCAGAAGTGGTCTGGGTGCCTGGAATGTCCCTTTAAATGCCCAACAAATACATAATAAAAAAGAGATTGCACATTAGACTACTCCAAAGATATACACATTAATGTTTTATTAATAAACAAAAAGCATAAAAATTAAATGGAGCACCACAACAAATTTGAAGTGACAAAACAAATAAGGCAAATACTTTAAAAAGTGGTACTAGCCACAACTTACACAAGCCGCTACAAACCCCAACGTTTCGGCACCTCCTGACTGCTTTTCTCAACACCCTTGAGAAAAACTGGCACAAAAAGAAAATATCACCGCAACTATACAAACCTACAGATTATTGAGGTCATAGAGAGAGTTTTTACTTTCCATTTTTCTGTCTAAGGTGCATTCATGTGCACGGTGTTCATCTATCCCCTCCCTACCTTTAGCTTGACTCCATTACCAGTATTTTACTACATTCCGCAGTTAGCCTATGTAATAAGGAACATATGCAGCTCTGGCTTGAACTATAAATATGTGATAAAAGGGTGGAAAACAAACAAAACAGCCACCAGCATCTTACAAGCACTAAATCATTGCAGCGCCCCTTCCTAAACTCTGAAGGCCCAGTGTGCCAGGAATCTGGTCAGCACGTCCGTGTGTGATATTTGTTTTGAGTATATTGACTGTATGTTATATTTGTGAGGGGTATTTAATTCAGATTTGTTTTTTGTTTTTTTAAATGCATATAGGCCCATGTGTGGATGCAGGTGTGTATTTCTGCAGTTTCATATGCACACAGTTACAGACAGTCACACATACACAATCACAAGCAGGTAGTGGCACACATTTACAGGCAGACAGACAGTCACACACACACACACAGTCATCTCTTTCCATTATGGCGGCACTGTAGCCTCTGGAGTCTAGTTGTGGGGTAAGCTGGTACTCCTTCCTGCTTATCACTCAGTGTCCAGCAGAAACCTGGCTGCGGGATCAGCTTTATTTAGCTCTGCCCCTGCCGCCCAGTTAGCCCAACCACTGTATAGCTCTCTCCCCACTCCCTTACCTGGCTTTTGAAACTGCATGTGCGAGCTATGTCTGCTGTCTGCTGTTTACAAAGTAAAAAGTGGTTTAATTTTCGATCAGATGATAAAGGTATACTACAGTATTAGGAATACAAAGCTGCATTCCTAACGCTATTGTACCCTTTGCTTCCCCCTTCCATCCTGCCCCTCCTGGCCAATAAAGAGTTAAAAACCCTTTACTTGATTCCAGGTACGCTCTCCCTTGGTGCTGGGTCAGCGCCCCCTTCTCACTCTATCAGTAGCTTAATTTCTGCCACACTGTGAAGGATCTAGTCTTTGTGAGCAGGCAAGTCCAGCTCACAGATACAGGAACTGGATTGGTGTTATCCCCTTGTCCCAAATCTGTGGCTGCGATACTGGCTGCTACAGCTCCTTGCACCTGCTACTGGTGGAAGGAAGGCCATCTGCAAAACTGCTCGGGCTGTGCCTTATACACATGTCCTGCCCCCCATCCCACCCACCCCCAGATGGCGGGTCTCGCTGCAGCTTTGGAACTGTATATTTAAATGTGATTGGTCTTGCATGTTTAATGCATTCAGAATTGGAAAGCGCTTTTCCTTTAATGGGAAGTCGTTTTTTGTTTCCTAAAAGAGCAGAACAACTACTCAAATATCTAAACTTGTATGACTTTATTTTTATGGACGTAAAGTAATGTGAACTTTTGGTTCTGCTGCTGTTAGCGAAAATATGTTGCTTCATGCAGGAACCACTGGGTGGACACAGAGATAGAAGGACACTATAGTTATGCATTTGTTTGTAGACAAATCACAAATTCTGATGAAAATAGAGTAATGAAGGAATCGTACAAGAAACAATATTCTTTCATGCACTACTCTTAGGTCCTACTTAGAAATAGACTGCTGTAAAACGGTGTCGTTGGATAGCTCGGGTTTCCCACTGTCTTAAGTCCAAATACTGTCCCAATCAGGCATTGGGCCCCTGAGTGATACCTCTTTAAAGATTTACAGGGTGTTGCTGGAGAAGTACCCAGTGAGGAGTTTCATGACATTGGAATGGTTTGCCCCTGGAATGAAAAATGTTTAATTAACGAGGTTCCCTGTGGAGCTTTTCCACAAGTAAAGTGTCATTTAAAAGCTCCAGAACTTCTCTGTTTACTGTCCAAAAAGCATGTGATCTGTCGCAGGGGGTCCAAGCTACATCCGGTTATAGTTGCAGCGGGTTGTTCCAAACTTCCTATCTGCTTGGCAGTTTCACAATTTCTAGGTTTGTCCCAATCTGGCGCATGGAGCCTGCAAAGCTGATTAGTCTGTGGAAATCTGGTTTCGGCAGGTCAGACTAGGTTACTATGCACCTAATAAGCATAAGGGGGGGACTGGGAAGCTAAGAAACCAAGTTCCCCATGAATCTGCCATGGCCCCGCTCCCAAACTCAAACTTATCCCCATATGTCCCCATTCTCAGGGGGTTACCGGGACATTCCATCAATAAATCTGGAACCCCGTGTTTCCAGCCCACAGTAGTTCCCGTCACACTTTGCTCACCCTCCCTTTTTCTTTTAATACAAGGGAGGTAGCCCAAAGCATGTGCCAATTGCAGATCATGTCACAGGAGTGAGCTGATTTGTCCAATTAAATCAGCTTGCTCCTCCCCCACCTTTCCTCCACTTTGTGTGATGTAACATCAGAATGAACAAATTGTGGGGCTTAGTAACCCGGAACTCGAATAAATACATTTTTTGTCCAATTGCAATATGTTTTAAAATGAATGAACAAGGGACACAACTCCATCAACCAAATGGGTGCATGAGGTTATTTCACTACAATAAAGTAGGCCTGTTTTACCCCTTCATCAAACTGCAAGTGGAAATTTAAACTTGTTAAATTATTGATTTTAATGTGGATACAAAAAAATAAAAAATACAGGACACTGAGCCCTCATTGAATACTAGTGTAGCAACCTACTTTTCTACCCTGCCTTTTCCTTTTGTGTCACCAAACCCCACTCCCTCTAGCATGGAAGCTCATTGAGGAGGGCCCTCAATCCTTCTGTTCCTGTGTGTCCAACTTGTCTGGTTACAAATATGTGTGTGTTAGTCCTCCTATTGTACCTTGCTGCGGAAATTGTTGGTGCTCTATAAATAATAATAATAATGCATGTATCAGAGTTGCATTGTGTGATCAAGCTCCACTACTTGACCAGATTATCTCCGCCACCTCTCTATTCCCTAAAAGTAATTTGTGAATTATAGCAGCCCACCCAAACAGACTTGATGAAGGTTGAAAACACAAACACCTTATTAGGTTTTCCACACACTGTTATACCCAGAACCCAGGCAGAGGGTTGTTAAAGGGTTTCTATAGGTTTAAAAGGTCCCTCCCCCACCCGTCCGCCGTGCTGAAGGAGTTAGAAACCCTTTAGTCATTTATTTGAATCCAGAGCTGATGTCCCTCGCTCAGGGTCAGGCTTCCACCCAAAACAGAGAAAAATAGTAATAACCCTCACACATTTGGTATCCTTGGATCGGCTTGTCCCCGAACTCCCTATCTGACAAAACAACACCCTGGTCCAATATCCATGGTAGAATTGCCACCTGGACATACAATTGACTGGCTGTGACTGAGCTTCCGGGTGGTCCAATTTGAGGGCTTAAAGTGTCTGCTGAAGGAATAATGAGCCATAGCTGGGTGATTAATGGTTCTTTTTAGGTGATTTCATAGAGTATCTTCACACACTGCATAACATTAATATGGCAGACCTTGGTTTAAATGTTACAGACTGCAGTATTTTCACATGGTCATGCTTGCATATGGAACAATAAGGGGTCTATGCACTGAATGGGGAATTCAGGAGAACTGACCAGGCAACTTCAATAAAGAGCCAAAATAGATAAATAGATTTATTTTTTAAAAGAGAAGAGTTGAAAAGCTTTTCTGATCTGACTATGTGACAGAGCAGGCCCACCAGCGGGGATGATAACCATCTGTCTGAAACTCTAACTTAGAGAGGGCTGAAGCCGGTGGCCCGTACAAGGTCCATCCCACACCGTCCAACTACATGGACTCTCGGCAGAGCGCTAATTGGATGGGAGGTAGAGCAGGTGAGGAGCCATCAAAGAACACTCCAACTAAATGTAGCCACCTATCACGGGTCTCGAGAGACTATGTGTTTTGGTTGTACTTTTATATGTCGCCCTGGTGTCTGGTATTTAGTCATATTGAGTTATGTCTCAGACACCGAGGCGTCAGGGTGGGATTACATTGTTCCTGCTGATGACGAACTATTGGAAATGTTATAAATAAGTGTCAGTTGTGACAATAAAGTAGGCCTGTTTTACCCCTTCATCAAGCCTTGGCTGATTTTTGGGGACACTGCTATAGTCACCTCTAGTATCCTGCTCCTGGGAAAGGGCGATTTTGGCAGAAATACTTATACTATCTTCCAATGGGTGGGACTGCATCCCATAGGGACTATCTTCCAATGGGTGGGACTGCATCCCATGGGCACTATCTTTTAATGAAGGTGACTGTATCCCAAATGGACTATCTTCCAATGAGTTGAATTGCATCCCATTGGGACTATATTTCAATGAGTGGGACTGCCTCACATAGGTTCTATCTTCCAAAGAGTGGGACGGCATCCCATGGGCACTATCTTTCAATGAGGGGGACTGCATCCCATATGGACTACCCTCCAATAAATGGGACTGCATCCTATATTCCAATGAGTGGGATTGCATCCCATGGGCACTACCCTTATAATGCAGTGGTTTTCAAACAAGGCACGCCTACCAGTCCAGGCCTTTACCATCAATCATCTTCTGCCATGGACAGAATTCCAAATCACAAAATGGCTTGCCCATTGTACATTTAATTAGTTTCATGATTTAGCCATATGATAATTCAGAGCTGTAAAATTTGGAAAAGTTGTCGATCACCCAAGAGTCAGATGAATTGCGATTAATTTGAAAGTGGATGCACAAGTCTGCTAGAGATATGCTTTCCTTCCATCGAGCTAGATCTTTAGAGGAAGACTCTAATTAAAGTACTCAGCCCCCTTGTTTATTGGTTTTTTGGGAGGGTTTTTAATTGCCATAAATATTACCTTTATTCCACTGGTGGACAGGGTTCGCACTGCATCTGATCCTCCAGCTCTTAGAGAATCATCCCACCAATATCCAGGGCTTCTCATAAAGAATCATTAGCCACGTTTTATACCATCATGCTGTGAGTGATAACGCTAAATGTGAAGTCTTGCAAAAATTGAAAGGTGTAAGCAGGAAGTGGCTCAAGTGGCGGTCTGGCTGAAAGCTGTTAGAAGCTTTCAGCAAATGTAAACGGTAATGTTTTATATTGCAGGAAAACCACTGGTTCGTGTGATGAGCTGGAGAAAGTAAGAGTGATGTAATCATTACAAAAACAATCACAATGGAAAAAAATAACTTCACATTATTAAACAAGCATAATAAAAAGAAATCATCTCTAAAACTATTTGTATTTCCACATGTCAATACACACTAAAAATAGAAGGAAGGCTAATAAGAAATGCTATTTAGGATAGTGGCTCTACATGAGTGTGTCATTAGTCAGCCGAGATACATGTATACATTTAGCATCTGGAAGAGAGATATAGGGGTAATCGCAATAACCTCGGCACGCACCCAGTACATAAAGAAGTTTACTAGTGACTAAAAAGAACGACATGAGTATAGAGGGTAAGGAACACTATAGTTATAACTGAAGCTATAATAACCACATCCCTGCTACTTTCCAGGTCCCCCCTACTGACTGGTGCAATAAAAATTTAATAAATTAAAGATTTGCTATACGTGTTCCAGCGCGGAGGCTCCCTCCGTGCTGCTCACCTCTCCCCCTCCAGCGACGTCACGGAGGATACACAGCCTTGTCCTTGATGGTCCAATCCAGGAGCATTGGGGCCCTAATGCACATGCACAGTGTGTGCCACGAGCACATTAAAAATTCCCCATAGAAAGTATTGAATTATTGCTTTCCTATGGGGCTTTCACATCCAAGTCAGAGCAGTGGAAGTACCTTTAACCCCTTAAGGACCAGACTTCTGGAATAAAAAGGAATCATGACATGTCACGCATGTCATGTGTCCTTAAGGAATAGCATGTCATGACATGTCACGCATGTCATGTGTCCTTAAGGAATAGCTGTCATACTGACAAGTGACAACCACTAAAGGTGGACTTAACTCTGAAATGTTAATATTGCAGTTTCTCAAAAATTACGTTTTACATTGCAGGTTTAAAGGGATTCTACAGTATAAGGAATACAAAGTACACTATAGAGCCCTCTGATACTCCACTTCCTGTATGAACACATGTTTTGTAAAAAGAAAATATGTTGTAGTAAATGGATTTACTTTGTAAGAGTGTCAATATGATGTTGGGATACATGTTTTTAAAGGTTAGTAAAAGTTATAATAATTTTTTTTTTAATTTTAAATTTTTGACTCAGTTACCAGTACTCCTTTCTACAATGTACGATTTTTAATTTTTTTATATTTTGAAATTTGAAAGGGGAATTGTCACTTGCCAGGATTTTCAAAATGCTGTTTTCTTACCTATTAATTCTTATACTGCGCCGATATATTCAGTGGTACTTTATAATTATAGAATGGGGATAATTGACAATAACAACAGGTAATTGACATACAAAATATTAAGAGAGAAAAGGGATGAAGGAGGTCCTGCCCAACGAGTTTACAATCTAAGAGGAAGGGGTAAAGACACACAAGAGAAATAATTGCATGTCAGAGGGGGTAGTGATTGATGGATAAGATGCTGGTATCGAAATAAGTCAGTAAAAGTGGTGGGAAATGATGAGGGCAGTGAAATTAGATAAGCGTCACCCAGGAAGATGGTTGTATTTAAAGGACCACTATAGGCACCCAGACCACTTCAGCTTAATGAAGTGGTCTAGGTGCCTGGTCCAGCTAGGATTAACCCTTTTTTCTATAAACATAGCAGTTTCAGAGAAACTGCTATGTTTATAATGGGGTTAATCCAGCCTCTAGTGGCTGTCTCATTGACAGCCGCTAGAGGGCTTACGCGCTTCTCAATGTGCTTTCCTATGGACTGGCTGAATGCGCGCGTGGCTCCTGCCGCGCATGCGCATTCAGCCAAGGAGGAGGAGAGTCGGACGAGAGTTCCCCGCTTGGCGCTGGAAAAAGAGGTAAGTTTAACCCCTTCCTCACATCCAGCCTGGCGGGAGGGGGACCCTGAGGGTGGGGGCACTCTCAGGGCACTATAGTGCCAGGAAAACGAGTATGTTTTCCTGGCACTATAGTGGTCCTTTAATAAAAAATATAAAAAATAACCCCTCTCTGTCTCATTAGAGATATCTTTGCCAGAAGCTCAAGGAAGCAAGGTGACAGGTCAGTGACGTTGGCAGGCGGGATTCCCTCCAATGGCCTCCATTGGAGTAAGTAAATGTCCTCCATTTGTTTAAATATACATAGGGATTTAGGAGAGAGCACAGGTAACTTTGTTTGGTTTGGTTTTTACTGTATGTATTGGGGCTGATGTGTACTATGGTTGTTGCTGCTGCCCAGGAGTGATGGGAGTGAGTGCAGGACTTATCGTTTTGTATTAATAATGAGGTGTGTTTTCAGTGACTTCCTAAAGGACTGGAGGCTAGGGCAGAGTCTGATGGTTCTGGGAAGGGAATTCCGAAGGAACGGGGCAGCCTTTGAAAAATCTTGCAGATGAGAGTTGGCAGTGTGGGTTCCTGCTCTCCTTAAGCATGCTACTGTCGTACCCATCCTTTAAAAAGCCATCCCTAGACCCAGGGCCAGCGCTACCTGTAAGGCGCAGAGTGCTCCCTCCTGCCGGTCTCTCAATGTAGCGTGGCTGTGCGGCAAGGAACACAGGACAGGAACCTCTGTTTCCTGTACCCGGCCGCCGGCGGACTGATAGGAAGTGCTGAGTGAGCGATTCAGTCCGCCGGCGGCCGGGTACAGGAAACAGAGGTTCCTGTCCCGCGTTCCGCGCCGCCCGGCCACGCTACATAGGCAGCAGGGAAGAGGAGGGTAAGGACCACTG